ATAGAAATACATAGGAGGTTTTAACTAAATTTGTAACTGATGATTAAATGCCCAAGTGATTTGCAAAAATCTTAATATTCCAAATGTATAGAAAGACTGACAACAGTTTACTAAGTGGGCCTTGCAAAATGAGGTATAAGAGAGAAGCAGATCAACTAGGTCCATAAGTAGGGATTTAAATGACTACTTAAGCTTGAGAGTAGTTAGGGAAATTTTAATCTGCCAAATTCATAAAAGCATGATGCATTAATCTTAGAACAAATGAAACCTTTTAATTTTAATGAAATATTCACCAGATGTTTAAATAAACTAAGATTTATACATTGAACTTAAAGCTTTATTAAGAAATACCCAGTTCTAAATTCACATGAGAAACCAAAAATTAAGACCAAAAAAACCTATAAATATGCTTTTTCATGCTAAAAACCCTCCCCCTTAGACATAAAAAAATCCTGCTAACTTATTTATAACACATCAATTTTATGACATGTAAATCCTAGAAAGAAACAATCAAATGCCAGAACCTAAGAAATTCTGTGTAATGTCTGAGGAGAACAAGACTGTCCTCAGGTTTCTTGGATTTCTTAATTTTTTCTTTTCAATGAACAAGAATTCATTTGGATTCAATAATGCAAAATAAAATTTCATGCCAAAAAACCCACTTTTTAGAAGCAAAGGAGGTAATCTACATCTGTCTCCTTTTCCCCAACCCTAGTACAAGTGTATGTAATTTCCACACAAGTATAAAATTTAATGTCCAAGCTCAGAAACAGTAATGGCCCAAACAGCAAATGTGAAGCAAGTGGGGAATTCATGAGTTCAAAAGTGAAACTCTGTAGTGATGACATGGCAGAACTGGCTATAAAACTCTACAATAAGGGTCCAAACTGACAGAGGCCCAAGGCAGAAAGCAACAACTTGAAAATCATCTTTTCTCTACTTTTATACATAGGTTACTTCTTCACATAGGTTGTGCTTTCAATTTAAGGTAAAGATAAATGTGTACTTTGTGAATGAATCTGAATTTTATAGTAGGAAACTAACCTGGAGTCACACTAATCAAATCATAAATCATGTCACATTCAATAAAAACCCCAAATCTCTCTGATCCTGAAAAGTAAGGAAAAGGAATATTTATGAAATAATAATCATCCTTCCCTGGCAGATTTTGCTGAATCAACTACCTGTGGGTTCCCTGAAAAATAAAGAGAAACTCTGGACCACATTTATGGAAAAACAAGTTCATTAATTCCACAGGCTTAGTAAGAAATACAGCAGGCTCTAAGTCCTGACAATCCCCATATACTAAATAACAGATTTTAAAAAAAAAAAGATTCCAAATATCTTTGTTTTTCTAAATTTATAGAGAGGTCCTTTAACTTTCCTTTGCACAAGTTCCTCCCCTTCTTTTTAGCAGTTAGGTACTAACGATGAGCAACCTGGGCACACATGTCTGCCATTAATGGCTTTCTTTTGAGCTGGTTCAGCAGCCACCTCAGCTGTGGATAGGTGAACGTTGTCTTTTGCTTGTAACTTTATTTGAAAGTAGTAATTACATCAAAGAGTAGGTAGTGACCTATGAAAGAATCACTGGAAATAATAGATTAAAATGTAATACTGTTTGTCAGAAACATTACCCTGACCACAGACAGTTTTGTTATGGATGACACGCATGATGAAGTATGACACCGAATGAAAAAAAATACCCTTGAATGTGAGCTCTTTCTTGCTTAACCTAAAATATCTAAACTATCACCTTTATTTTTTATTTTCACTCTCTATATGACGTATCCACTTACCAAGTATGTGCACACCAATGTGTTTTTTTTTTTTTTTTAATTATACTTTAAGTTCTGGGGTACATGTGCAGAATGTGCAGGTTTGTTACACAGGTATACACATGCCATGGTGGTTTGCTGCACTCATCAATCTGTCACCTACATTAGGTATTTCTCCTAAGAGACATTTTTTGAGATGGAATCTCACTCCGTCACCAGGTTGGAGCACAGTGGTGCGATCTCAGCTCACTGCAACCTCCGCCTCCTGGGTTCAAGCAGTTCTCCTGCCTCAGCCTCCTGGGTAGCTGGGATTACAGGTGCTCGCTACCACACCTGGCTAATTTTTGTATTTTTAGTAGAGACAGGGTTTCATCATGTTGGCCAGGATGGTCTTGATCTCCTGACTTCATAATCCGCCTGCCATAGCCTCCCAAAGTGCTCGGATTACAGGTGTGAGCCACTTCGCCTGGCCCACACCACTATGTTTTTAATCATCCTGCCGATTTGCTTAGTTAATATGTCAGTGAATTTTAAAAACTCGTTTGTCATAGAAATTTAAGCAATTATTTTTAGCACTTTAGAACTATCTTGGGAATGTTTGCATCAGCTCCTGAGGTTTTCTGGAGAACAAATATTCAGGTAAAAGAGTACTGTACACTGAAAGAAAAATGGTACCAGAATTTAAATGTGTATTTTTAGGTTTTCCCTTTTTCAATAACCTATTTATCTTCTGCTATTTTTTTTTTTTTTTTTTTGAGACAGCGTCTTGCTCTGTCACCCAGGCTGGAGTGCAGTGGCATGATCTCGGCTCACTGCAACCTCCGTCTTCCGGGTTCAAGCAATTCTCCTGCCTCAGCCTCCCGAGTACCTGGGACTACAGGTGCACACCACCACACCCAATTAATTTTTGTATTTTTAGTAGAGACAGGGTTTCAACATGTTGGCCAGGATGGTCTCGATCTCTTCACCTTTTGATCTGTCCGCCTAGGCCTCCCAAAGTGCTGAGATTACAGGCGTGAACCACCGTACCTGGCCTATCTTCTGCTATTTTTAAGTGACAACTCATAATAAATGGTGAACCTATTTTAGAGATAGCCATGTTTTAGGGATATATTCATGTAGGGTAAATATAAATTAATGACTCTAGGAAAAAATAAGTTAATTTTATTATAACACATGAACTTACAGTAGAAAACAACAAAAGAAATGGATTAAGAGTTATTTCAATTACTGAATAAAAATAATTTATCATCATGGGGGAAAAAGTCAAGCAGACACTGCAGTTAACAGATAGTGGAGCTCCAGAAATAAACAATTAAATGATTAAATAAATGGAGAACAAGTCAAGAGAACAATGTGAAAATGAACCATGTACCATCCACCACCAACACAACTCAAAACAAGAGTGTTTAGTCTACTCCATGGCAAAAATCTCAGAGTAAATAATATATTTTAGGAACTTGGTCATTAAATCTTAGGTTCAAATTCCACCTCCCTTTCTTACTTCTGACTTGTCCACATCCCTGGGAATATCCCTTAACCTCAGTTTGCTCATCTAAATCAGGACTGCTAGATTCTAAGCCCTTGCTCATGACTGTCACCCTCAGTCCTGTATTCTTCTTCCTCATCACACCTTCCCCTTCATGTTGGCTTGAACCCTGCTCGACTCTGCAGCACTGCAAGCATACCCCTGCACCTTGCGTCCTCCCTCACCTGGCCACTGCCTGCTGCCTTCCTCCTTCTACAAAGGGACTCACAAAAGGGAGTCTGATTCAGGGATCTGAGTGGTCACTGCACAGGTCACCTGCTCATTTTATCTGGCTGGACCCACCACTCTGGTAAAAGCGCTCTGGGAAAACCTACCACCGAACACCTAGTTGGGAAATAAAACAGCTGTTTCATTCTCATCTTCCCTAAGCTTTCTGAAGCAACTAGCACTGCTGGCCTTTCTCAACTTCTTAACTGCTTTCTTCCTTGACTTGCCAGAAATGAGTCTTTCTTGGTCCTTTTTCCACTTCACTGACTTTGCTTTCCTGGTGACATTCCCTCAGTCTGTTGTCCTTAAGGATGTTTTTACCCACAAGGTTCTAGTCTTGGGCCTAGTTTTTAACTTATAAAGTCCTTAAAATTTTCACAGATCATCTAACACTTCACACCTACATCTCTTTAAAATTTTTGTTTGTTTGTTTGTTTAAATAGGGTCTTACTCTGTTGCTAAAGCTGGAGTGCAGTGGCGCTGATCACAACAGCCTTGACTTCACAGACTCAAGTGATCCACTAGCTTTGGCCTCCCAAGGTGATGGGATTACAGGTGGGAGCCACTGTGTTTGGCCTTCTTTTAATTTTTGGTGTTGAGACAACTGAAGATTCACATGTAGTTGTAAGCAATAATACATAGACCTCAAATACCCTTCATCTCAGTGGTAATATCTTACATATCTATAGGACAATATCACAGGCAGCAAATTGACATTGATACAATCCATCTATATTATTCAGTGCTCACCAGTTTTACATGCATGCATTTGTGTGTGTGTGTTTGGTCCTATGCAATTTTATCATATGCATAGACGATGCACCCACATTCTGACTCCCATTCCAAGGCCCAAAACTGGGCTCTTATTCTGGGGAGAGGGGTGCTCAAGTAAGAAATACAGCAGGCTCTAAGTCTGACAATTCCCATATGCTAACAAAAGGACTCTCTGCTATGAGCAGAGCAAATCTAAAACTGTAAGATGTAAATTTCCATCTCTTTTTATGATGTTCTCCTAACTGGGAACAATCTATGACCTCCTTTCAACACCTGCCCAACCAGCTAAATCTGGCTTAAGTCCTTCTCTACGGAAAGCCCTCATGGTGCTACCTACCAGTCCACAATGAGTCCTTTTGGACTTCACTGTGTGTTTTCCATTAGATGTAAGGCTTCTTGAGGATAGAAAATGAGCCTTTTCTTGCGAGTTCCATGGATCTGAGACATACATGTCTTCAATAATACAAAAACCATTCGAATTACTAAAATGGGAAAACAAAGAAGAGGAGAAAAAAAAAATAGAAAAAAAAAAAAGAAGAAACAAGGCACAATTTGCCATCACAGAGGACTCCAGGAACTAGGATTTCAACTTTATCAACTAGATTAAAAAAAAATAGTACAGGAAGCATGAACAAAAGGCTAAATCCTTCTTTTTCCTCCCCACAAGATTTCATACTTGAAAGAATACTCACCCTCTTCAACAGTCAGCAGGTTACCCAATTCTGCCGACGTGTGACACTGGACTGGCTCAGAGCTCTTCACATTTGCCAGTGGCAGGAAGGGGTCATAATCCGTGGATGACAAGTCAGCCAGGGTCAGCGTGTAGTGACTCTGTTGGGTGTACGTGCTCGAGCCACACACACAGCAGTGCAGAACCTGTGAAAACAGAGGCCATGTGCACCATGGATACTCCCTACCTCATGTCTTCTGACAATCTGTCAGAACTACTGTAGTGCTTAGCAGCTAGGACTCCTGCTTGGTAAGACTTGAAAACATTGCTTATTTCCATTCTTAAATACTTCTTGCTATTAGCAAATTTATTTTGCTTCTTTCATGTCAATGCCAAGAAACATGTTTCAAGGCAAAAAAAAAGTAAAAGTTAAAAAGTTCTTGTCCACATTCTGTGTGATTGCACACACCTAAGTCCTCCTCCTGTCCACCAAAGGCAACACAGGTAGGAGGAACTAATCAGGAGACGAAGGGTAGGGGTGGGATGGGCCAACCGCGGTGGAGGGTGGAATGAGCACAACAAGCAGAGGCCATTAGTGCATGTTATGACCAGTCATGAGTTTAAATCAGTATTACTCATGACTCCATGAATTATAAGGGCTAACTTAATACAATTTTTAAATTATTCTTACTGTCACAAGATTAGTTTCCTGAGAATTCACTGGTTTTTTACAAATTGCAGTTGATTAAAGATCTATCTACTCGTTTGAGCTTTTGTACTTATATAAAACATGCAAACACAAATCATCTTGAATATGCCAAATGCATAAATGAGGTAATAATTGTAACTGATTTCCCTTTTTAATCATAAATTCAAGATAATAAACTCAAAACAATGACTTTTATAAGAATCAAGGTAATACTTGAGAAAATAAGAAAACACTATTGGGTTAAATATATTTCTGTAAAGTAAATTCACTTTTAGATGACCAGCTTTGGTTTGCTGACATGGCAAGAGGCCTTGTGGTCAGGTACCCTTTGTACACAGCTACAAAGTACCAAGAATTATACTTGTCAGGGCAACCACTTGAATATGTCCTCTTTCTAGAAAAAAAAAAAATGCAGTATAGGAAAATCCTTATGGCAGCTCTCTTATTAATGTAAAAATTGTGCTGCAATCACTGAGATAATTAATTTCTAGTAGCCAAAATGCAATAAATGTAGGAAATGCACATGAAAGTCACATGTTACGTGTAAACTAGCACAACTACTTGGGAAAATTATTTGGTGTTCACTACTAAGGCAGAATACATGTACTCTAGCAACTTCACTCCTAGGTATACACCCAACAGAAATGCATATGTATTTGCACAAAAAACCTTCAATATTCACATTTTATTGGTCTAAAACTCTAAACTACCCAAATGTCTATGAACAGTAAAATGGATATATTATAGTTTATTCTGTGTAATACTATATACCACTAAGAGTTAAAAATCTACAAACATTCACAACAGTTTGAATAAATCACTCAAAAATAATGTTGAGCAAAATATGTCAGACACAAGAGGACATACTCTATGATTCAATTTGCATAAAGTTCAAAACAGGCAAAACTACTTTGCTCTGTTACACAGGATAGTGGCTATCCCTGGACATGTGAATCAGGCCAGTGACTAGGAGGAGGCACAGAGAAGGCTTCTAGGGTGACAGGAATGTTCTGTTTCCTGATCTGGGCTCTGATTTTATAGGCATGCTCACTTGGTAAAAATTCATCAAGCTTTCACTTACAGACTAATGCAGCTTTCTGCAAGCATATTATACTTCAATTAAAAGTTTACTTTTAAAATACAAGAAAATCCCAGTTATTTAGTAAATTTATTAATTATGTTTACCATGAGGTAGCTTTTATATTGGTAAGGCAATTTTAAGAGACATCTTTAAGAAAAGAACAAACTCAGAAAAGAGATTTACATAAGTGATTGTGGCTAATGTAGTTGGCCCAAACCAAGCTCTGTACTGGTTTATGAGCCAAAAAAATAACAGAAGTATCTACAGGTGTTGATCGACTTACGACCCATGCAACTTATGACCATTCGACTTTACAACCACAATCGCTAGCTACGACTGCTCCACGTCTGGCAGCGCAAACGTTGCCCAGCTGGTCGTACGGCAGTGCGGACCAGCTTCCGGCAGCACTACCATCTCCACGTGCATATAGCCTACTCAACTTACAACCAAATCGTGTTACGACCAGTCTGTTGGAACCAATCGTGGTTGTAAGTCGAGCACTAGCTGTAATTAATCCTACTATAGTTATTAAAATCTTTGACCACTGAAGAAACCAGTTAAGAATACACAAATACTTTTTAGTAGAATTTCAAACACAATTAGGTGTTTTTATTTTTTATTTTTAAAAACTGACTACTTTTAAAAATAAGGCAGTAAAAGTAATCAGTTTGTGACTTGGACTCTTTTTTATTATTAAAGGTTTGTTACTAAAAGAATAAACCACAGAATTTTCCCTCCATGATAGTAATTATTCAGAGGACATGCAAATGCTAAACAAACAAACAGCCAAGGTTTGAGAGGACTGTTAAGACAAATTACAGAGGATATTACAAGCAACCCAGAGCAAATGCCACACCTAGTCATCAGTGTGTACCTGTGCGGGGGTAAGGGCTGGAGGGCTAAATAAGAATATTTTAAATGCTACAAAAATGATGAAGCTAATTACTTTGATGTGACATTGACATAGTTCCTTAATTTATTTCTTAAGATTTTTTTGAGGCAAAATGATTACTGAGACCATTAAACCTTTTTCTTCCTTTGATAAACAGATTTTGTCAAACTAATGTTGTATACAAATATACAGTCAGATAAAAGAAATAAGACAATAGGGTGACTATAGTTAACATTAATCAGCTGTACATTTCAAAATAGCTAGAAGAGAATAATTCCAGTGTCCCTAGCATAAAGATAAATATTTAAGATAGACATCCCAATTATCCTGATTTTATTATGTAAATGTATCAAATCATCAAATGTACCCTGAAAATATGTACATCTAATATCCAACAATAAAAGCAAATTAATTTTTTTAAAAGAAGCTATTTGCCCTAGGGAAAAAAATGAATGTAGATAACCCTATAATGTGAACAGTTCTTTTTTAAATTAAGTAGACACAGACCATGTTCCATGAAAATTGAAGAATTCTGAGCAAACTAAGGTTGTTTAAAGATTAAAGATGACAGTCATATATAATGCACACATCTTTACCTTGGTAAACACTGCTTCTTTGTAGCTGTTCTGTTCTGCTTTCAGTCCTTAAGTTATTTACTTTTTTTTTGAGACAGAGTCTTGCTCTGTTGCCAGGCACCAGGCTGGAGTGCAGTGGCACGATCTTGGTTCACTGAAACCTCCGCCTCCCAGGTTCAAGCAATTTTCCTGCCTCAGCCTCCCAAGTAGCTGGGATTACAGGTGCACGCCACCATGCCCAGCTAATTTTTGTATTTTTAGTACACTAGAGACGGGGTTTCACCATGTTGGTTGGCCAGGATGGTCTTGATCTCTTGACCTGTGATCTGCCCGCCTCGGCCTCCCAAAGTGCTAGGATTACAGGCATGAGCCACCACACCTGGCCAGTTATTTACTTTTTAAGAAAAAGTTTAAGTCACCATAAATTCTTTTCAAAAGGTCAATATATATAAGTACATGCATAAAACATATTTTGGTGATTCTCTGGCATATAAACCCACGCTCCATTCCCCCAGGCCCAGGTGGAGACTTACCCTGTAGATATAATCCAGCAAGGGGGCTCTGGCCGAGTGCTGCTCCTCTAGGACCGCCGTGGACACTGGGTGGAGAAGGACACTCATGGGCAATGCCATGCACCAGTCCAAGAGACAGAGTAGCAAGGACACAATAAACTGGAAGAAGAACATGAGCAGTAACTTATGCTGTAGTCTCTGAAACCTCACTACATTTAATAATAAACAAGACAATTTTCCCTACATATAATAGTTATTCAATGGACATACAGATGCTAGATAGGTAGGTAAGTAAGTAAATAAATAAATAGCATTTTCACAGAAAAAACTGTGAAGGCCAATGCAGAGGAATATTACAAAGGATATCACTAGTTGTAACATGGTTTATCATTCTACCTTACATTAAAATTTTTAAAAACTCTAGGAAAATCTTAACTCATGTGCCACCTACCTTCTTGTCTGTTTCCACTGAGGAGTACTCTGCACTTGGTAAAAGAAAAGCAATTGTGGCCACAAGGATCTGCATAAAAGATAAATGCGCAATCAAGCAGACAACATTAAAAGTGTTGTAAGCCTATGTCAGAAGTCCCACAATGGCCTTGCAACTAAACCCCGCTTGGTGCCAACTCGGCAGAGAAAGGTGAAATTAAGCAGAGGGCCAGCTGTGTGGTAATCTTGAAAACTAAGAGAAGGCAATGGGGCCACGCCTAGTTTCTACACTACTTTACCGGTGGAAAAATTGGGGCAGGGGGGTGAGCAAAGACTATTTCTCTCTGCAGTCACATAATTCTTAACATCAGTCTCCACAGTTTTCACAGTGAAGTAAAAAACACTTTCCAAAATAATTATGAAAATGCTCCCATTTAATTTCATTATAAATTACCCTAAGTCTCCACCTGCTGTCCTGGTATAAACAGCACTCCTTTCATTCTCAAAAGCAGTCCCATTTAGAAGATAAATTACACCATCAACCCAAAACTCAACTTTCCATTTCAGAGCATTTTATGTTCCCATGTCCAAAGTTCCAATTCATTCCAGGTCACTTCAGGTCAAAAATCACTTATGCCTTTTAATGTATCTGAGAATAAAGTGATCTTTCCAGTGAAATTTGTCGAGGGCTGAGAGAATATAAGTCAATATAGCTTCTTCTCTCTCCTTGTATTGCTTCATAAGGACAAATTAAATTTCCTTGAACTGTTACCATTGGATGTATAAAGAACAGGGCATGTTTTAAAAGTGCAGCTATAAAAATCAATAGTGGAAGTGCCTTATCCCACAAAATCACCTATGGGAGTGAAGGTGCCTGCTTGTGTACAGGCAAGGCACACTTGGATGCAAGTGGCCTTCAGGATATGACTGTTGAGACAATTCTTCCTATTCCTTCCACCTCTCTCTCCCACCAGTTACCCCCCCAAGAGGTTATCATGGTAGCAATCTCATTACAGCCAGCAATCACGCTAGGGCAGAAAGTGTGGTCCAGGGCTTTAGACTGGGAGAGACTTCTGTTTTACACAACAGCCACCCCCCTGCACCCCTCACGGAGGGCATCATAACCAGCTGCCTACTCCTTGTTGGCACCATCCAAATTGCTCTTGATGAATGAAGCCCAATCTACAAAAGGTCTCTTTGTTGTGGTAGTGCCTGCCTTTCAAACTCCTCAAGTTTAAGCCTCTGCCTGGAACACTGCTGGCTTCTTTACATAGTGTCTGAAATCATAGCTGAGAAGAGCCAGTCTAACTTAATCTTAAAGCAAGTGACTTGTGGCACTTTAATAGTCAGTTTTCTAACAATTATTTGAAAATCTATAATTAATTAAATATCAAATACAATAAAAAGGAAATGTTTATGTTTTAGTATTATAGAAAAAAAGACTTACTTCTGCCATTTTCCGAGGCAGAGCAGTTTCAAACATCTGAAGCTTCTCCCAGTAGGAAACCAGCAACTGAAGCACATCACAAGCTACCTGGGCCACGATTTTGTTAGGAAACTATAAAAGGAACAGAATCCCAAAGCAGATACATAATTTAACAGCTGCATCATTCTTAAGGACAAAATAGTTATTTCTTCCCAGTTCCTTATAGATTACATTTATCTGTTTTGCCTCAAATTGATGAAAAATATGTCTGTCCTATTACCAGAGAGTTTAGACATCATCACATCACCATTCTAACACTGCCTCTTCTCTAGCCTCATTGTGTTAATTTACATAATGTGCTACAGGAACAAGGAGCTTTCATTTACTTATTTAGAAATTAAAACCATTACTTCAAATTTCTTATTCAGCTCACATAGGTCATATTTTTTAAAACAAGAGAAAATTCAACTGTACCCCCAGTGCGCTGAACCTTTTAACAGGATTTTACTCATTCTCTCACTGATAAATCTTCACTGACAGCTCTGCAAGGTAGATGTTATTTTCATTTTACACATGGAGAAACAGGGATTGACCAAATGACTTTCTATCCTATGAAATAAAACTTGACCCGTATGTATAACATACTAAGAATGTGTAAAATTAGAGTGTAGGAGAAGATAACTAATGGATTATGGTATACTCAATTATTTTGCATCTATTTCCTGAGGCTGGCATGCGTCTTCAGTCACCACCAAGGTCTGGATGCTTCCATTTATTGTGAGGCAGCATATCTAAAGGCAGCACCTTCAAGGTCTTACTTTTCATGCTGGGAGGGTATAGAAGGGAAGAGGGCACCCTATGCTTTTCTCCCTGGCCAGAACATGGGCTACACCATTATTCATATCTCATTATCTAGGGTGGAAAAGGTTCATCACTGACCCTAGTCTAGGGACACCTCACTCTAAGCCACATGAAGCAGACACCATCAATGTTTAGTGCCCCACTGACAAATGTACAGAATAAGGAAGAAGGTGAGGGAAAGGTGATCATTTTAATTCTGCAGAATAAACAATTACTGACTACCCCTACTTGAGAGGCACTAGCTAAACCCCGGGCTGTAGCGGTTGCACTCAGGGGCTCTTCACAGCCTTCCCCGGCCACAGAGACCCCGTACCCCAGATGACCCGATTTCCACTGGCCTTCTTCCATCTCCCAAACACTCTGGCTTGCTTCTGCCTCATGGCCTTTGCACCTGCTCCTTCCCAACTTTACTTGGAACACTTAATCCCCAGTCTGCATGCGGCTTGCACTGTTAGATCTTTCAAATTGTGGCACAAAAATGTCATCTCCTCCCCGAGGCCACCACACCTACCTGAGAGCTGAGTGGCAGCCCACCCCTCTCATCTCTTCAGCTTCATCCTATTCCCCTATTAGATTTCCTTCATGGCATTACAGGCTATCAGAGGTGACCTTTTTGTTTATTATCTTCCTGCATATATTGTTCACTGCTGTATTTTTAATGCCTAGCATGGCCCCCTTAAGGATGTGTGTGGTATGCTTAAGGTGAAGATGAAACTCTGAGGGAGCGGGAGAACATGAGTGGGCACTGTGTGTGTGGCTGCTGCATCACAGTGGTAGAGTCACCAGGTGGAAAGATAAGGCTGGTAACGCTCTGAACTCAAGAGGCTGGAAACAGACTAGGGAAAACTATGAGTTGACAAACAAGACAAAAAGCTATGGACAGAGAGGGGTGGGACATGGGGCTTGGGAGAGAACAGGAAGAGAGAAGGGATCATGGAGGGAGAAGAGAGCTAAGGTGCACCTGAAAGAATGCAAGTGGGGATTTGGGGTCTCCTTCCAGGCATGAGTGGCAGGGCCCAGGCACCAAGGTAAGGAAAAGTTGGTCAGATACAGGGGGCTAAAAGCAGGGTGGTGTTACTGACATGTAACGAAGGAGGTGGGGAATGATGGAGATGAAATAAGCCACTAATTTGCTCTCTCACTCATCCAGCATACAGAGTACATACAGAGTACCGACAGAGTGCCATGCTGAGCACTCCAGCCTGCGGGCCGCACTGGTCAGCCTGTGTGTTGACAGATCACTCTGACAGTGGTATGAACAGTGATCTGTGGGGGTCTGCTGACTCTGACCAGGAGGCTCAGTATTGGCAGGGTGAGCGATGTGAGGGATGAACTTGGGCAGTGGGTGGGACAGACCATGGGCATTCAGGAAGTACAACTGGCAGGACTCAAAGCCAGAAACAGCAGTGGGGTAAGGAAGAAAAGGAAAGTCAGTGATGTCTCGGAAGACAGGGTGGGAGAAAGAGCAGGGTTGGACAGCTCACAAGAGTCGGTGAGTATGGCTGTGGCTTAGCACCACCTTCCCCAACCACCCCATGCCTGCCATCCATCTGCTACCCCACCATAAACAAACCAGCCAACCGACACGTTGCTAAGTGGAATGCTCTGCATATCCACGGGCATACCTAGGTCACCCTTGCAGGGCATTTCCGAAGGGTGCTTACAAGCGAGGCAGTGCTGGCTTTATGTGGAGCCTATAAAGCAGGGGGCCCTGCTGGGGTCTGTGTTCTCCACTACAGCCACCACTGTGAGAACACGGGTCTCTAGGGGGCTTTGGGACTCTGCCAGGAGAGAGAGGAATGGAGAGAGGAGGCAATGGGGGCCTTGGCCCCACCCCCAGCCCAGCTCCAGCCTGATGTGTGGGTAGCGGAGAGCGCAAACCCAGGCAGGGCTCTTTCTCCATTTCTCTCCCTCCTGGCACAGCCCCAAAGCCTCCTGGAGTCCGCTGTTCTCACAGTGGTGGCTGTTCTCCTTGTTCCTTGTAGAAACTCTTTCCCTTCCAGTCCTCAGTTCTTCAATTTATGTGCTATGTCCTTAGGTAAAACAACCCAGTTGGCACAACAACACAAGAACTAGAGGGAGGCAAGGAAGGAGGGAAGTGGGGAGGGAGGTGTCCCCAGAGACCAGGACTTAAGTCAGTGAGTTTCCTGTTATTAACAGTGGTTAAAGACAGAACAACTTGGCTGCATCCTGATCCCTCTACTTTCTTAGCAATTCAAGCTGGAGCCAGTTATTTGACTTTCCTCAGTCCTCTTTTATTGCTATCCAGAGGGTGGGGATTCAAAGGACGATTTCCATGCTGTGCTGGGACAGCGAACAAGAGTGAGAGCTCAGTATGTGGTAACCATGTTGTTTTTCTGGTGTCTTATATTTCTCCGCATAATCATAGAAAAGTTGCAGAAATTTGAGAAAATCTATGTATCCCTCTGCTCCGTTATCAATTTCGATTTCTTTCCTATATTACATAGAAATATATATATAGTTATGTACCTCCTAACAATGTTTTGGGAAACACTCAGTAAGCATCACATGTACAACGCTGGTCCCATAAACTTATACTGCTATATTTTTACTGTACCTTTTCTATGTCTAGACATGCTTAGATATACAAGTACTTGCCAATGTGTTCCAACACAATATTTAGTTCCTACAGTATTCAGTATAGCAGCGCGCTGCACAGGATTTTAGCCTCAGAGCAACAGGCCATACCACACAGTCCAAAAACCATCTAGGTTTCTGTAATATTCTTTATGATGTTCGCACAACAATGCAATCACCTGCTTACACTTTTCTTAGAACGTATCCCCATCACTATGCGATGCGTGACTCTGTGTGTGTGTGTGTGTGTGTGTGTGTGTGTGTGTGTGTGTTTCCTTCATTCTAAGACACCACTGAGTTATTAATAGTTTTTCCATGGAAGGGGTAGAGATGGGGGAACCACCTTACATTGACTATATACATCTAGATTTAAGAAAAATTAAAAATTTAAAAATAGATCTTAGAATTGAAAAAGGGTATTTAAAAATGAATTGGGATCCACATTGATATATAATTTATAGCCAACTTGTTTCCACTTTAATAATTATATGTAAATATTTCTCCATGGCTCTGGGAGTCAGGAAGTGTCCTGCACACCTCAGTTGTGCAAAACTCCATACATGTGGCCAGAGTGTTCTGGGTTTGGCTTTGGCAAGCTCCTTCGGCTCCTGGTCAGCTCATCTTCCTCATCTGTAACGTGGAGGTGGCACTGACACTTCCCCGCACAGGATGACACCAGCTGCCCTGCTCTGGCTGGAGGGGCACTCTTCTGTGATATTGCGGTTGGAACGTTTCTCTATCCCTCATCACAGGGATCAGCCGCAAGTGTTTTTCCAGCTCCCAAAATACAACAAGCACCCCCACCTCCACTCCAAGGTGTTGTGGAGGAGAAATAGGGGAGGACGAGGCAATGGGGGTGGTCAGAGGGTGTCCTTGGGGAAGAAGAGGCATTGAGTTTGGTCAGGCAGGGGCCAGACGCCAAGCCACGGGCGGGGGACAGCACTGGCTGATCATTCTATGGGCAGACTCAGAAAACGCACAAAGGGTGGTACAGCGGCTGTTGCTGACCTGATGCTGACTGTCCCAAGCGACAGTGGTAAGCACCATTGCTATTACAGCTGCATGTGGCAGGTGGCACAGGAGGGCTAGCAGCAGCCTGAATGCTGGTGTTAGGTGGATGGTTCAGGGGTTGAACTTTGGTTCAGTGAGGTGGTCATTCTAGAGCCTTGAACGAGTTCCTTAACTCTCATGTACCTCAGTTCCTCTACTAGGACACTGACCCCCGAACTAAGAACTTCCTCAAAACCCTCAGCACAGCGCCGGCAGAGACTAGGCACTCACTGGTTCCCTAAGTGTGATAACGGCAATGCTATTTATTACCACCGTTTCCAAGCAAGAGCCAGGAAAGGACTCAGCAGGATTTGAGCTTTGGCTTAGAGGCAGCCTAAAAGCACATGCATATCTTTAATGCCACACAGATCTGCTTTTATTGCTGGTTCCATCACTTATACCTGTGTGGCATTGGGCTTGTCACCTAATTTCTCTGGGCCTTGATTTCCTCTAGCATAAAACAGAAATTGCAACATCTATCTTGCAGAGCTGCCTTGAAGATTAACAGAAATATTTAAAAGTATTTAGAAGTATTAGAGCTCACCATTATTCTGACCTAATGTGAGTGCCCGGTACTTCTTATTAGCAAAGCAAAGAGAGAAAGATGTCCTACAAGTGCTCAAGACTCAGCCAGATGGTAAGCACTGAGGGTCCTAACTAGAAGCTGTGGAGGCCTCTCCCAGGCCTACTGAAGAAGCCGGAGCACAAGATCTCACTCTCTTGTCACTTCCACCAACAGGTGACAGGTGTCCTCCTTGCCACAGGAGCTTCCCAGCCACCAGAGGAACCCCATTTGGCCACTGGTCCAGGAAGACTGGAGGAGACACTGGCAGCCTAGCCACAGCTGCCAGCAGGGGAGCAGCCATCGGTGCCCCTCCCGGGAGCCTCATGGCACATTTACCACGGCTCTCAGAGAGAAATGGGACTCACAGTCCCTCTGCAACTGGGGGGAGGAAAAAGATGGGGCTAATTCAAACTCAAACTGTTAAATGCCTGAGATATGGTGTAATATCCAATCGACACCACAAACTGGTAATACCTTCAGAGTTACTCCTATCACATTGATGGCCTCTTTCACCTGAGGGTGGCTTGTACTCTGTGCAAGCTCTTCACATATCCAGACTCCAAGGGAGCAAATGGCAATGCATCTTTTTAAAAAGAAAACAGAGGAAAATTCTCATGAAATTTAATATACTTTCTCGGTATTTTCAAATAACACAACACTTTAAATCTATTTATACAAAAAGCAAAAATTACAAATCTAATAGCAGAAAGAAAAGATAAAGAACCCTCAATAGGCCAATTTTCAGGACAAATAGAAATACTGAAATAGTTTAGTACTTAAATATTTAACAAAACAAATGGCATATTTTCTGTTAATTGTCACAGCCTGTACCTCACTTAGTTTTGTTGAAACTAATGGGCTGTTACATTTTATTGTTGAAGACATTTTTGGGGAATAAAAAACATTAATCTGAGAAAACTGTCAAAAACTGAGTTTATAATTTACGATAATATGCACAATACCTACCACAAACAAAACGAACGGTATATTTTAAAGTATATTTAAATACAACTTTCAAAATAAATTTCAATGTTATTTCTTCCAAACGATGTGCTAGGACCAGATATTCTTCACAGAAAGCCAGCCATGCCATATACATTTCTATTCTGTTTTTAACTCCATAGAAATTTGGCTTTCTACATTAAAGAAAGAGAAAGGAAGAAAAATTGCCAAGACTTGATGGTTTAGATGCAGCAGGTGTAGGAAAAAGAAGAAATCAAGGGTTTTCTCTAAATTTCTGAACTGAAAACCTGGGGGAATTGTGGGGCCATGTGGTAAGATGAAATCTGAGGGACAGTCAGCTGCGGGGAAAGGTCAGAAGCAGACTCAGGGTTCAGTTATAGTTGTGTTAAAACATTCAAGTTGAGATGTCCAGTAGGCAGTTTAATATATAAGCCTGAATATGAAAGGGGCTCACTGAAGAGGCAAGTAAATAAATCAGCAAGAAGATGGTATTTAAAGGCTGATTAGAATAAGAGTGCCCAGGAAGTCACAGAGAGAACAGGTCCAGCCCTAAACCCTGAGTCACTCTAACATTCATCAGAGGTTAGGTAGAGGAGGAGAGTTCAGCAAGGGAGACAGAAAGGAGAAAGTTCAATGAGGTAGGAGCAAAATCAGGGAATTATGTTCTGAGGAACAAGCATTGTTCAGGAAGAGAGTAACAAAAGACTAGCTGCAGACTTGGTAAGTATGCATGTTCAAATGTCTAGCATAACCTCTAAAAAAATAAAAGGGAGCCTATGACTTAAAAAAAAATGAAGTAAAAAAAAAAAAAAAAAAAAAAAAAAAAAAAAAAAAAAAAAAAAAAAAAAAAAAAAAAAAAGAGAGAGAAACAAAGAAAAACAGGGGATGGGGAAATGAAGGCAAGACAAAGGAGAAATAAAATAAATATACTTTATTTTAAATAGGAAAGAAAGATCCTATTAAAAATAAAGTATAAAATATAATAAAAGTGCATTCAAACAGACCAGTAATTATAACAAATGTAAATGAACCTAAAGCTTCAGTTAAAAAATAAAGATTGGATGAGATAAAATTATAAAATCTGGCCAGGCACGGTGGTTCACGCCTGTAATCCCAGCACTTTGGGAGGCCAAGGCCACCGAGTGGATCACGAGGTCAAGAGATCGAGACCATCCTGGTCAACAAGGTGAAACCCCGTCTCTACCAAAAATACAAAAATTAGCTGGGCATGGTGGTGCACGCCTGTAGTCCCAGCTACCAGGGAGGCTGAGGCAGGAGAATTGCTTGAACCCAGGAGGCGGAGGTTATGGTGAGCTGAGATCGTGCCATTGCACTCCAGCCTGGGTAACAAGAGCGAAACTCCGTCTCAAAAAAAAAAAAAATTACAAAATCTGGATATACACAGTTTTTGCAAAAACATCTAAAAGAAGAATACAAAAAAGTTAATTAAAAGGAACAGAAAGTATTATTTAAAAATAGCTAGACCAATATCGAAGTGGTCTTTAAGATAAAAAATTCCTCCTTAGAAATAAAGAGTCACTATAAAAATATAAAATATTTGTTTCACTACAGATACAGGACAATTCTAAACTTTTATGCAACTAATCACATAGCCTCAAAATATATAAAACAAAAATTGACAGTATATAAGGAGAAATACATAAACACATTATAATAGCAGGAAATTTTAACATTTTTCTTCCAGAAGGTGATCAAGCTGATGAAAAAAATCAGACAGGATACAAAATATCTGAAGCCTAGGATTATTTAATCTAATAAACACAACTAGAAGACTTTGCTCAACAAAGAACAGGGCATACTTTTTTTCAAGTTTATATGGGATATTGACAAAAACTGACTACCTAGTGGGCAATTAATCAAATTTCAACAACATCAAAGACTGCTGTAAGATATTTTGATCCACAGTGCAATTAACTAAGACATAAGTAATAAAAAGATACCAACAGAATTCAGACAAAGTAGTAACTAGAAACAAATAGTCTTAAATGTTTATATTTGTAAAGGAGAAATTAATATACTAAATATATAACCTTCAAGGTAAGATTGTAAAGAAAGTAAAAGGAAGGACAGAAAAGAGCAGAAGGTGGGAAACAAGAGCAAACATAAAATACAGAAGTTGAACAACGACAAAGTCTAGTCTTTGAAAAGACCAATAAAATTGACAAGTCTTTGGCAAAACTACTTAGAATACACAAAACGTGTCAAAGATTAAAAAGTGAATGTAACCACAAAAGTGAAAGAGAAAAGATTAAGATAACTCATATACCAGTATATTTTAAAATTTAGGTGAAATGGACAAATTCCTAGAAAAGTTTGGTTTATCAATATTGTCAAAAAGGAAGAAGAAAACCTTAATAGTACTAAAATTATGGAAGAGAATGGGTCAGTGGTTAATTTTTCTTATCAAAGGTAGTTTTACCATCAAGGTCTACTAACTACACAAGAATATTAACTCTAATTTTGCAAAAACTCTTTCTGACTAAAGAGAATGAAATTGTACTTCACTGATTTTGTGAGAGTTTATAACCTTATAATCAAGGAAAGGAAAATTATAGGCCATCAATATGGGACCTGAACAAAATATTAGCCAAGCTAGATCTTTAGGATAACCAAGTTGGGGTTATCCAAAAATGCAATGTTAGCTTAATATTTGCGAATTATTATCAGTTTAGCTTCTAGAAGCGGCAGACCAGGAAATTTGGACTAACCCTTCTATTGAAGATAACCAAAGAAATTAGACAAAATACAAAATAAAAAACCCTGAAAATCATCAAATAGCTGATAAGGTAGTGATAACTGATGGGCTGCTGTCTTGGAAAGAGACTACAGAGGGAGCAGGACCTGAACCGTTCCTAGGAGGGAGTTAGGCTGAGCTGGCCTTCTGGTGACCTTACGGGGTTTGACATTGAGGATTAGAGACAGATGTTCCCCTCCATCAGCATTCTCAGCTTTGGTCTTCACCTTGGGAGGAGAGGCAGAAACTTTTTCAACACGTAAGTGGCCCAGAAAATCTCATATTTTGATCATAGGCTGCTAGCAATCTCAACTGCCTGGCAGAGGCAACCAAGATGTTACCTACCAGACACTGCCAAATGTCTTCTGGTGTAAAAGATCATCACTGGTTGAGAGTCACTACCCGACACATACACCATTGCTATAAATATTTGGTTTATATTTTTGTTTTCTTTCTTCTTGAAAATATGATACATGAATATATTTGTAATCTCGCTTTTTCTCACACAAAATAGTGTACTATGTATACTCTTCTGTGCTTTACAATTTTCACTTAATAATGACACCTTTCAAAAATAATCATGCAAAGCATCTTCCTGGCATTACTGTTCCTATACTTTTCAGCCTGTATAAGAGTTATGTGAAAGCATAAGTGTTTTTTTGTAACATTAACTACTTACACATAAATGTGTATCTTAAAATTCTAAAACAGTTTACCTCTTATTCAACATTTACCTTGCATATTCATTTGGTTCTTCTGTGGCATTCTTCAGTAAAATATTTATGAGGTAATGCTAAAAACACAAAATTAAGTAAAATAAAAACTTTGTGTCACAGTTGGTTTCCCACATGTTCTGACCATGTTCCAGGCAGCCAGGAGCTACTGAGGTTCGACCAGGGAGCTCGGGGAGCTCATCTATGAGTGAGAGCCTGGGGGAAGAAGAACGCTTTGGGGAGCGGCTGGTGGAAGATGAGGGTCTCCACAGGGCCTCCCTGGGCCATTCGGCCTGAGGGAGTAGAGCACTTCTGGTATAAAGCAAATGAGACTTCTAGATAGAAAAATCTTGGTTTTCTTTTACTTTAACTGGATTACATGTTGTACATTGAATTATATACTGTAATTGTATTTTATAGTTTAATTGATTCAAGGATTCTAAAAGCATTTTTATTTACCTCAAAGTCAGCTGAGGAGAGAACAAGTGCTTACTTTTATTCTCCAATAAATAATTTAGAATCTCAAATTATCAGCAGTATTTAATCAGGCCAACAATGGGACTGAATATTTAGTTTATTTACATTATTTCTTTTAAATTAACTTGATTCACTACTGTAGTTAATTAAGCTAATAAAATTATTACAACAGGCAATTCACTACATGATTATGACCCTTAGGCCCAATAAACAGGTATAATAAAAAACACCTGCTATTATAGCTGTACGGTCCAACCGCAATATGCTCTGAATTTAACACACGTATAGCCCATGAATAGCCTTATAAAAACAACTATTGAAACATTTAAAAGATACAGCAAAATTTCAGGAATAAGTAGATTAATATATACTAATGAAAGAGATAATCATACAGCTAGAATTATAAAAAGTGCTAAACTTGAGATTCAGTCAAACGCATTATGTACCTTGATATCTTCAGTTCCTGTAATGGCCTCATTTACTTCTGGCACTGCCTGCAGTAAAGGAATCTCCTGGTAGGCGTTTGGAAAGCAGACCAGAGAGCCAAGGACAGTGACAGCCTCTGAACGAGGGGCCTGCACATAAGGAAGAGAAGCACACACATCTTTCCTTTGGTAAGTTGGAACCATTAAACAAGTGACATGTTTTATTCTTTATCCTAGATAAAAAATACCAAACTCAGCCAAGTTATTCTCTTCCAGGTGAATATTTAAGCAAAAGAGGTTTGCCGAAATGAAAAAGCAAATTTCTAAGGAATGGAAAATATACTTAGATGTAAGCAAGTGTTGCGGGAACTGATCTGCAGATTCATTCAGAATTAGAAAGCCCACTGACTCCGTCATGACTGTTTACATTGTTTTAGTGCTAGTGTTCTCAACAAAGCAGGGTAAAGGATATCAACTTAATAACATTTTGCTGTTAAGAACAATTATGGAAAATTCATAGGGAAGCAGAGATGGAGGTAACTATCAGAAGGTAGAAAGAGAAGACAAACTACCAAATTTCCTGTCTATCACTAAGAACTACTTTATGAAACAACATATAATGAGATACTATATCACTATTATCTAGTGAGATGCTTTTCTCTTATTTACCCATGTTAGAATTAGATATACATTTAAAAAGGCATTTCACTAGATTTCAATTCAGCCAACACTAGCACCTATGATTAGCCAAGAATAGGAGATTACATAGGTCTGTCATCAATCTACTCCCCTAGCTGTCCATTTATCTGTCTACTATTATGTAATAATTATAACAACGAAAGCTCACACATAAGGAGTTCTCACTCTGTGCTAGGCACTGTTCTAAGTGCTGTACAAGCATTTCCTCATACAGTCCCCTCACCAACCCAATGACGTAGAGGCTATTATTTCCATTTTCCAGTGAGAAAACTGAAGCTCAAAGAAGTTAAATAACTTTTCAATGTCACAAAGCTCCTAAGTGATGCACATGGATTTGAACTGAGGCCATCTAGCTCCAGGTCCAGACTGAGCCTATAGTTAAGCACTTGAGCTATAAAATCAAAGACAGCTTTTCTGCCTCAGAGAGATGGAGCACAGTACATGAAGTAGGGAGGAGAGACAAATAACAGCTATACACAATTCAGTGAAGCACCTGCTAGGAGAGCAACATACTGAGGATAGCATGGGAGCCCAGTCTTTCATTTTCTACCTAGCTTGGTTCTCATAAGTACAGAGGTAAATAAAAGGCAATAGAAAGCATAGCAGAGCTATTCTATGGGACAAGGCAAGGATTGGTTCTGCTCAGGATGTTTAGGAAACCTTAAACAAACTGCTGCTAAGAGCCACAGAGGGAAATAGAAGTCAGGCAGGCTGGCAGTGAGTGAAGGGGCCAGCTGAGTAGGCAAGAGGCAGGTGTCCATGAGACGGAAGGCTGAAAGGGTCAGAAGCAGTCGTCCCCAAAGTGTGTTCCACTAGGGCCACAGGGACTGTGAAAGGGCAAAAACAAAGACTCCCGGGAAAAAGACGTTGCAGAGACATTTGGCTAAGCACAATTAAACAGGAGCCTTTAACAAGTTATTGTATGCTGAATTTCCACGTGAAGAAGTGTATTTCCCAAAATTATTTGACTATGAACCTGGCTTGCTTTCTTTTCCTTTCCCTCAGAGTATCTGGGGAGATTACTGTTCTGAAAGAGACTTTGAAATACTTGTCCTGAGGTTAGGAGAGAAAAGTCTGGGATAACAATTCAGATGTGTTCAGGGCAACTGAATGCATGTGTCTTTGTGGAGTGCAAAGAAAGAGAAGTGATGACAGAGGTCGAAGCCCTGAGGACGAAGAGACAGACAACAGGAAGAATATCATTACCAACCCACAGAAGTCCTCTTTGTGCCCCTCCCATGATGTCCTCCCCTCCCCCAAAGTAACCACACTCTGCTGCGACATCACAGATCGGTTTTGTCTGGTTTTTCAATTAAATAAATGAAATTAGCGTATACGTTCTTTTGTGTCTGACTTCTTTCACTCATTATGTTATGCATAATGTGTTTTTACTGTATATAACAATCCATCTTATGTACACACCATAATTTAGCTGTTCCATTGCTGATGGGCATTTGGATTGGCTCTAGGTTTTGGCTGTTACAAATAATGTTGCTGCACACAAGCTTCTTCTCATCTTTTGGTAACTTGTGCGAGCCATCTGTGCATCTCCCTCCCCTACTGCCTCAGTGGGGCAGACCTACCTAGCAGGGGTACTTGAAACTGGTAATTACCTTGTGCTAACTGAAAATTCTGACTGAGCAGGTGTGCTCCAGCCCAAACATCTTTCAAACACCTTTCACCAGTTCCTCTACAATTTTAACCTCAAGTTTAAACAAGAAAGTAATATCATTCAGAGTTGTGGTACCTTAATGTCACTCTTACCTTCACATTCTCATTGATATTCTCTCTCTTTTTAAAAAAACATTTTGGAAGCCTACTGTATTAATTTTGTGTTGATTCTTTGTTTCCAGCTTTACTGAAGTACAGTCAATAAAAATTTATATAAAGTATATGCAACATAATGTTTTGGTATACATATACATTGTGAAATGATTATCACAACAAGCTAATTAATATATCACCTCATATAGTTCCTTTATGTGTGAGGTATGAACATTTAAGATCTACTTTTGGCAAATTTCAAGTTTATAATATAGTATTATTAACTATAGTGACCACACAGATCTCCAGGACTCATTCATTACGCATAACTGAAACTTTTGATCTGCTGACAAACATTACTCCGTCTCCCCCCAGCCCAACCACAGCCACTGGGAACCACCATTCTACTCTCTACTTCCAGGAGTTGGCCTTTTTTAGATTCCACACATAAGTGATGCCACACAGTATTTGTCTTTCCGAGTTTGGCTTATTTCATTTAGAAAAATGGTTCGTCCATGTTGCTGCAAATGACAGAATTTCCTTCATTTTTTAAAGGCCGAGTAATATTCCACTGGAGATATGTACCACATTTCCATTATCCATTTCTCTGTCAATAATTTAAGTTGCTTTCATATCCTGGCTACTGTGAATGCTGCTGCACTGAACATGACAGTGCAGACATTTCTTACACACACTGATTTCACTTCCTTTAGATACATACCCAGAAGTAGGACTGCTGGGTCATATGGTAGCTCTATTTTAAAATTTTTGGGAAACCTCCATGCTGTTTTCGATAATGGCTATACCAATTTACCTTCCTACCAAAAGTGTACAAAGGGATGAAAATGTCTAGAAAAAACGGTATGAGTAGCACACCCAGTACCCAGCCATTCACTAACCCACATATTCATGTGCAGTATTTGAAAACAGAATTAAAAATTGATTCGTGGCTGTAACATTTATTCCTACTATCATACTTCAGGCAGAGAGTTAAGAAAAAGGTATATAATACAATGTAACATTGATATATGGTTGAAGACCAAGCAAATTCAATGCCTTCAAAAAGCTTAAAAGGTACTCATGTCCCTTTTATTGCAGTTTCAAAGAACATAACACTTTTTTGCTTTATTGAAAGCTAGTTTTGTATTTTATTCTTTCCGAATTTTTTGAAGCACATTCCTTGTTTGTATTTCAGTACTTCCTTCCCTTCACATTTTCTAGTTTGTGTTTTTCCAGGTTCTGGTTATTTTTTGGTTGATATTTATTTTCCTACTTTGGCAACGCACCTTTAATGTGAATTTGACCTTTACATTTATCTTTACACCATATTTGATTTGAGTATTTTGTGTTGATTCTTTTTTTCCAGCTTTACTAAAGTTAAATTAATAAAAATTTATCTATTTAAAGTATATACAACATAATGTTTTGATATACATACTGATCTATATCAACATGTTTTTAACTTATGTCTTTGGGAATGTGTTTGTTGTGATGCCAAATCTCATTCTAGTTTTTTCTGTCAGAGGCCTCAAATAAGGAAGAATCATCATTTGGTAAGTGGTGATCACAGAGGGAAGAGACCAATAAATGGAAGTTATATATTGCAATCTGGGCAGTATATAATGAATTCAAATAAAAGTCAGGGTTTTTTTTTTTTTTTTTTTTTAATGTGCACAAGAGTTCTCTTTCCTCTACATCCTTACCAGCACTTATCTTTTGTGTTTTTGAGAAAGCCATTCTAACAGATGTGAGGTAAATTACCTCATTGTGATCTTAATTTGTATTTCCCTAGTATCTTGAGCATTTTTCATATACAGCAGTTCCCTCTTATTTGAAGGGGATACATTCCAACACCCCCTCAGTGGATGCCTGAAACTGTGGATAGTACCAAACCCTATGTATACTATGGTTTTTGCGATACATACATACCTATGAAAACATTTTAATTGATAAATTATGTACAATAGCAAACACTTGGAACCAACCCAAATGTCCATCAACAACAGACTGGATGAAGAAAATGTGGCACATATACACCATGGAATACTATGCAGCCGAAAGAGAAGGATGAGTTCATGTCCTTTGCAGGGACATGAATGAAGCTGGAAACCATCATTCTCAGCAAACTAACACAAGAACAGAAAACCAAACACCACACATTCTCACTCATAAGTGGGAACCAAACAATGAGAACACATGGATACAAGCAGGGGAACATCACATACCGGGGCCTATAGGGGGGTGTGTGACTAGGGGAGGAATAGCATTAGGAAAAATATCTGATGTAGATGACGGATTGATGGGTGCGGCAAACCACCATGGCATGTGTACACCTATGTAACAAACCTACACATTCTTCATATGTACCCCAGAACTTAACGAATAATTTTTAAAAAATCAGGCACAGTAAGAGATTAGCAATAACAGCTAATAATAAAATAGAACAATTATAACAATATGACAGCATCACCACTCTTCTGCTTTGGGGCCATTATTATGTAAAATAAAGATTACCTGAACACAAGCACTGTGATACCACAACAGCCCACCTGATAACAGCTATGGCCACTAAGTGACTAACACGCAGGGGTAGCAGATACCACGTGGATCCACTGGACAAAGCAATGATCCATGTCCTGGGCAGGATGGGCCAGGATGGCTCAAGGTTTCATCATGCTAGAATTATTTCTAGAATCTTCCATTTAATATTTCTGGACCACCATTGATTGTGGTAACTGATATCAGAAAGTGAAACTGAGGATAAAGTGGAGCTACTGTACTATTAGCCAACTGTATGTCTGTAAGGTCACTTTAAATAGCCCATCTAGCCATGCTGGCAGAAAATGACTACCATGTGTAATATCTCTAGGAAGGCCTCCAACATTTTTACAGGAAACTCTCTTGGCAAATCATGAACACAGTATTGGAAGTTCTGGTCAGGCCAGTCGGGCAAAAGAAATAAATAAAGGGTATTCAAATAGGAAGAGAGGAAGTCAAATTATCTCTGCTTGTACTAACATGAGTGTATATTTAGAAAACCCCATCATTTCAGCCCAAAAACTCCTTGAGCTAGTAAGCAACTTCAGCAAAGTCTCAGGATACAAAAATCAATGGACAAAAATCACACCAATAATAGACAAGCAGAGAGCCAAATAATGAGTGAAGTCCCATCCACAATTGCTACAAAGAGAATAAAATACCTAGGAATACAACTTATAAGAAATATGAAGAACCTCTTCAAGGAGAACTACAAACCACTGTTCAAGGAAATAAGAGAGGACACAAACAGATGGAAAAACATTCCATGGTCATGGTTAGGAAGAATCAATACTGTGAAAATGGCCATACTGCCCAAAGTAATTTATAGATTCAATGATAGTCTCATCAAGCTACCATTGACTTTCTCCACAGAATTAGAAAAAGCTACTTTAAATTTCATATGAAACCAAAAAAAGCCCAAATACCCAAGACAATCCTAAGCAAAAAGAACAAAGCTGGAGGCATCACACTACCTGACTTCAAACTATATTACAAGTCTATAGCAACCAAAACAGTATGGTACTGGTACCAAAACAGATATGCAGACCAATGGAACAGAACAGAGGCCTCAGAAGTAACACCACACATCTACAACCATCTGATCTTTGACAAACCTGACAAAATCAAGCAATGGGGGAAAGGATTCCCTATTTAATAAATGGGATGGGGAAAACTGGCTAGCCATATGCAGAAAACTGAAAATTAGACCCCTTCCTTATTCCTTATACAAAAATTAACTCCAGATGGATTAAAGATTTAAACCTAAGACCTAAAACCACGAAAACCCTAGAAGAAAACCTAGGCAATACTATTTAAGACATAGGCATAGCAAAGACTTTATGACAAAACACCAAAAGCAACTGCAACAAAGGCTAAAATTGACAAATGGGATCTAATTGAACTAAAGAGCTTCTGCGCAGTTAAAGAAACTATCATCAGGGTAAGGCAACCTACAGAATGGAGAAAATTTTTGCAATCTATCCATCTGACAAAGGGCTAATATCCAGAATCTGCAAGGAATTTAAAGCTACTAAAGAAACAAACAAACAAACAAAACTGCCCCATCAGAAAGTGGGCAAAGGACATGAACAGACACTTTTCAAAAGAAGACATTTATACAGCCAACAAACATGAAAAAAAGCTCAACATCGCTGGTCATTAGAGAAGTGCAAATCAAAACCACAATGAGATACCACTCATGCCAGTTAGAATGGTGGTCATTAAAAAGGCAGGAAACAGATGCTGGAGAGGATGTGGAGAAATAGAAATGCTTTTACACTGTTGGTAGGGGTGTAAGTTAGTTTAATTATTGTGGAAGACAGTGTGGCGATTCCTCAAGGATCTAGAACTAGAAATACCATTTGACCAGCAATCCCATTACTGAGTATATTCCCAAAGGATTATAAATCATTCTACTATAAAGACACATGCATATGTATGTTTATTGCAGCAGTGTTGACAATAGCAAAGACTTGGAACCAACCCAAATGCCCATCAATGATAGACTGGATAAAGAAAAAGTGGCACATATACACCATGGAATATGATGCAGCCATAAAAAAGGATGAGTTCATGTCCTTTGCAGGGCAAACAATTTATTTTAAAACCAAGGGCTTGAAGTTTGAATTTACCCTGCAAAGAAGAAATAAATAAAGTGAAAAAGTAATCACATACCAAACAAGGTTTAGGTTGTTGGATGGCCACACTGACTTCAATACCAATCCCTTAGCAAATAGTAAAGCTAATTTTATTTATACCATTTGAAGGGGCAAAAATTACTCTGAATACGTAACAGCTTACAGAGCACAAATGGAAAAGGCCCCTTAAATTTGAATGCATAATGGTATTCCCTTGAAAGGCATTAAGATATTGCTTTGGCCATGTACAGTGGCTCACACCTGTCATCCTAACACTTAGGAGGCTGCAGTGGGAGGATCATTTAAGTCTAAGAGTCTGAGACCAATCTGAGCAACATGGAGAGACTCCAATCTCTACAAAAAATTTAAAAATCACCCAGGCATGGTGGCATGTGCCTGCAGTCCTAACTACTCAGGAAGCTGAGGTGGGAAGATCATTTGAGCCCAGGAATTTGAGGTTACAGTGAGCTAGGCATGATAGCATCATTGCACTTCAGCCTGGGTAGAGAATTAACGAGACTCTATCTCTTCAACAACGACAAAAACAAAGTAAAGAAAAATATACTGCCTGAATAGCAGAGGTAAATGTAGACAGTAAAAACAAATTCTTTTTGTAGCCCTTACTGATCATTTAGTCCACTTCTAATTTTTTATTACAAAAATTCTGCCCAAGTATTCCGACATGTTATTAGGAGAATACATATTCACTTCTAGTTAAGATTTTAGTGTTCTAATATTTTAACAAAATATTTTCTATGAGACTTATAATAACGAAGACTTAATTTAAAAAGAATTCTTACTGCTAATGTACACTTTAACACTCCCTATTTTAGACATTTGTGTCTGTGCCTCCATTTACTAGAAAATGCTAGTAAGATTCTAAGAGACAAGTCCTGCTTCTGACTGTGTAAATGTGCTGAAATATTAGTGAGGATATGATTTCTCACACTTTGGCCTTTTGATGAAATGCCTTTCCAATACCAGTGTGTCATCTTATCCCACAATTTCACACATCAGCTGCCAGGGTATCTACCCTGAGAGCCCAGTTTCACATTGCACTAATGAGTCAACACCTGTTAAGAGTGGAGAAATCTGAACCTTGTTAGCGATTGTGAAGCCTCCTGGGAGCTGGGATGCTGAGCATTGTCATACTCACCGTCAACATGTCTGTGCTAAGGACCCTGGCAGCGGCCGTGATGAAGTCCCCCACCAGCATTGAGAAGCCAGGAAAACCCAGGGAGAAAAAGCGGGGTGGGCAGTGCCTTATGATGGTATTTAAGATATCCTAAAAGGGAAGGTAAGAAAATACAATTGTAATGTTCAAGCACAAAATTGCAAAGTAGTCAGTCTGTAGTGTTACATATGACCACTGTATAATAATCTAAGAGAACAGAGATCACAGAAAATTTTCAGTGAAAGTGATATTGCAAACTGAGTTACTCCAAGGGTTATCGTACCCATTTTAAAGGTGAGAGATTAGAGACACCAAACTGTAAGATGAATTATCCAAAATCTAAATCATGACTCTGAGACTAGACATTTCCTATGTCTTCCATGTAAAGGTAGGCTCCTTGGACAGGCTACAGGAGTGATGAGGTGAATATGAAACTAAAACCCTCAAGTATCTATCATTGAAAGAAAATGCATCCTGTCTTTGGCTTTCAATTTGCCACAGTTAAAGCACACAGTTACTTTAAAATATCTTAAAGTAGGCAAAGAGACGGAAAATTTCACTCTTCAGATAGTTTTATGTGCTAAGAAATGGGAATATGGAGAGTGCTCAGGTGATGCTGTAATCAGTGAAATGCTAAAGTCAAGGAGCCAGCATGGCTCTGAGTATAGGGATGATCTCACTGTAAGTACAAAGTGCAATAGTAGTAGCCTTTTGCACAGAGTAGCAGTGTAAAGAGCATCATCTGCCCCAGACACCTTGTGTCCCTGTGTCTGTATTGGCCTCTCATTGATGGCTAGATGGCTCCTCACCCCCTCAGCTCTGTTCTGAAGCAGATATCTAATTCCTGCTTGTGGTAAATCAGGGGTCCACCATGGGACAGCATTCATGCCATCCATGGCCAGGCCACATCTCTGAAGCCATATGTGCAAGAGGGTGCGCATGTGTGTGTGTGTGTGTGTGTATGTGTAACAGGAATTAGTAAGAAAACCAAAAACCACAAACTTCTTTTATGCAGCTGTTGGTCATGTACATTAATCAAAACATGCACTGAAGTACAGTCATGTGTTGCTTCATGACAAGGATACATTCTGAGAAATGTGTTGTTAGGCAATTTCATCATCTTATGAACATCATAGAGTGACTTACACAAACCTAGATGGTAGAGCCTACCACACATCCAGGCTATGTGGTATGGCCTATTGCTCTGAGGCTACAGATGTGCACAGCATGTTACTATATCGAGGTCTGTAGGCAATAGTAACACAATGGAAAGTTCTGCATATCAAGCCACATCTGGACATAGAAAAGGTTGAGGAAAAATACAGCACTACAATCTTACAGGACCACCATCATATATGTGGTCTGCCACTGACTGAAATGTCACATGACTATACTATAGTTATGTGACTTGCAGTTATACAGTGTCAATATAAGAGTAAGAAGCAAAATAAAAACACATACACACACACAATCCTACTTTATTTTCTTAGATTTCAGTGTGGTTATCTAAAAAATCCTTAAAAATAATCCTGATTTAATTCTATCAATATCACTAGAGCAACGTGGTAGTAACATGCTAAGTTCTAACATGTTAAGTCTGTCATAAAAATAACCTCACTTAACAACTTACCTTCTTAAAACATTTACATGTGTTCACAAAACATTTTTTCTAAGACTCTTTTTTCCTTACATGGGTCTTAGTTTCTACAAATCTTGCCATTTACATTCTTAAAATTACTGTATAATGCTTAATTCAATAGAGTTCACATATGGTAAATAGCTTAACAAGTATTAAAGTTTTAGCATTTCAGCAGACTTTTTTCTTACACCAGAAATAAACAGATAAATAGATAGATAAGTAAAAAAGGAAGGAAGGAAGGGAAAAAAAACATGAACCATGCTTCTTCCAGGTTAATGTTTAAGCCTGCTTTAATCACGTCCTTTGATACACTTTAAGGTCCATATCAGTCAAGGCAAACATTCTAAGGGACTAAGCAGATGGATGCTGCAGTTTAGAAAGTGTGTGGTAAACTCAGGATCCAAGAGTAGAACAAAAGATCCACCTTTTTCATAATTAAGCCTCTGATTAATGCCCTGGGCTCCTCACCACACACCTGTAATTACTCACAGAGGTACTCATTGTGCTGGGCCTTGTCTCGGAATATCAGGCATCAAGCTATCCGGCAGCAGATGGAAGCACATTTCTGTTGACATATGTTGCAATGAAAGGATTCGTGCAAACCTGGCTAGCAAGGTAGCAGAATGCCATGCATTTGAAGATTAATAATGCAAACAACCATGATGTTAACTTTGTTATGTTTGTGTTAATTCCATCTGTTGAGGCGTGGAACTAAACCTTGAAGCTTGTGGGCTTTAAAAATCTTTAGTACATACTTGAATCAAATAAGCCATTTTCACCATTGGAATTTAGAGTTTTAATTTAAAAACACTTTTCTAGGCTAAATTTATGGGAATTACGAACTAAATCCTTTAACAAGCTAACATCACAATTTATAAATGAATCCATTTTGCCTCATAAGATTTGTATGTGTAAAGGCAATGATCTGTAAAATGGGGCATTCAAAAAAATTACTAAGTTGCTATACTGATGCTAAAGATAGCAGATAGACACATAGCTGAAATAAAGTCACATGGCTCTCCCTCTCCCTGGACCTCAGCCAATCACTTCAACGGAACCTGCTACTATGGGCAAGAAGGTTGGAAAGAGAGGGCAAAATAACAGATGGCTAGCCTACCCTACCCTGCCACCCACGTAAGACAGTGCCCTGAGGAGATGCAGCGCCTGTGCAAAGTCGCCAAAGACAGCACTGGGGGAGGGTAAACGGGGGGTTAAAGAGGGACTATGTGACCAGTTAGCCAAATTATGGCCATATGCCTGCTTATGTTGCTTCTCCGCACTGAAATGGAACAACTCAAAGACTATCTTTGTGATAACATGTTAAAATTCGGAATAACCACGTGGCACTCAAAGAAGAGCAGCTACATATTCCCAATAGAGGGACATTCACAAAATGTCCTACTTATTTCTAACTCAGTAGAATCCTCTCTTCACCTTCCCCACCATACAGTAAGATCACAGTTCTAACAGGAGCAATTGAAGAATAGAATAAAAATCTGAAACCTTCTTACGCCTTCCAGGACTTTATATATACATGGGGCAGGATGATGCCCTCCAGATATCAGTCATTCATGTGCAGCCCGCATGCCTTTTGCCGTCTCCCTGTCCAAAGTGAACCTCTACCTAATAGGTTTTTCTGAGTGACTCATGTTTTTATTTTTTTTATTTCCATAGGTTTTTGGGGAACAGCTGCTGTTTGGTTACATGAGCATGTTTTTTGGTGGTGATTTGTGAGATTTTGGTGCACCCATCACCTGATTTGTAGTCATTTATCCCTCACCCCCACCCACACTTTCCCCCAAGTCCTCAAAGTCCACTGCACTATTCTTATGCCTCTGCATACTCAGAGCTTAGCTCCCACTTATGAGTGAGAACATATAATGTTTAGTCTTGCATTCCTGAGTTATTTTGCTTAGAATAATGGTCCAATTATCCTGAAAAACCTATGTGTATCCTTTCTCATAAGTAAAAAGTAACTCAAATAATATAATGACAGTAACCAATGTGGCTGAATTTTTGCTAAAAATACCATCTTCTGATGAAGTCTCTGGGTTTGAGACCAGCTCTCCTTGTTAAACAGAAGCACAGAATGCAATGACAGGGTGGTGTGAGACAAGTTCTTCTCTCAATTCCATCTGGCCTACCTAAGAATATCACAAGGACCTGCGGAGAAGAGGAATCACACTACTGTGTGATTCAATACTAATCAGCGCTGCCTCCACTGGGATGGCTAGTGAGAAACAGCCCGGCACTCTGGTGCAGTGAAAAGAACTCTAGAACTGGGACCATAGCCTTGTGTGACTGTGGGCATATCACATCATACCTAGAGCGTATGCTTCTCTTCCATAAAATGGAATGATACTCCCTTACGGAGCTGTATCTAATGGGATAGGAGATAAGAACATATGCCTTTGCAAAATGAAAAGAGCCATAAAGAAGTAAATAGAGTAGGAAGTAAATAATTATTTTTCAAAAAGAGAAGGACTCTGAAGGGTTTTACTTTGTAGAATTTACTTTGTAGGTGTAGATTGTATAATTCAGTGAACTATTATTTTGCTCATCTACAGAAAGAATATTTTAAGATATTTCAAAGGTGGCACAAACAAGCCTCTTAGATCACACATTATCCCAGAAATTTAAAAGCTCCACAAATTAGTGCTTTCAAGCAACACCGTTAGCAAAGCATTACAGCAATTAGCCATAGTGTATATAATTTACAAGGCAAATAATGAAAGAAAAACAGGAAAATTATCATTTTAGATTTTCTAGGATTCATTTTTCTAAGTAGTTCTAGAACTTAATACAAACAAGTTCAAGTTAGTATCATAGCAAGAATTAGTTTGTTTTTCACACATTAAACAGACTAAACAATAAATAATAAGCAAAATAAAATTAGTTTTATTCTTTAAAGTTGAACATAGGAAACACAGACAAAGATCTTTCACATGGTTTTGTTCAAAGAAACTAAAATTCGTTCTGCAAAATGTTGCAATATAGTGAACAGATCACCAAACTAGTGTTTTTTTCTCCTTCTGGTTAAAAGTCCAAGTGCATACTATATACATTGAGTGTGTAAAGATCACTAAGATGATAATTGTGAATTTGCAGCTTATCAGAAGATTCTGGTTATGAGAAAGTAACTGGCGAGAACATCTGTCTCTTATCACTGATCTTGCAAAAAAATCAGGTAATTCAAATAGAGGCGTGTTGTTTCCTTTCCTTCAAAGCACAGTTCTATAAACACAAACCATATTCAGCCTGGTAAATGAATCGCTTTAATTGAATGCTATGTACACAGTAACTGGAAAAACCATAAGTGATAAGAAAAACATATGGTGATGGCAACAGAAATCGGTTTATTCATTTTGCATAGTGTTGTTTCTTTAGTTCCCTTATAATTGACCTCTAGAGCGATAAATGTGTAAAATAATTTTGTTTATTATGGCTCCAAACCTTCCAACAATTACACAAA